CCCAGAAAACTGGTTTGTGCTGGTTTTTTGCACCCTAGTGGTGATGTATCGAAGTATGTCTGCATATACTGTATAGACTGTCTTAAATATTTATTGATTTTTTTTTTTAAATTTCTTTTTAGCTAAAGGAGGAAGCAAAAAGGTGATGCAAGAGGCAGCAACGGTAGGTTTCTAGCATAAATACTAAGCTTTTCTGATGATGTTGCATGCCACTGTAGGAAACAAAGGGGTTCTTGAATCTGTAGGAGCTTGCAATAGCAGAGGTTGCATAAATACTTTCACAAATGCTGCTTTAAGACTGAACAGTAAGAGATCCTTGTTGCATCCAATATAGGATTTGTGTGCCTATGCTACTCCTTGTCCGTCTTTCCTTACCTGCTTGATTTAACTCCCAGATCCCTAAAAGCACCTGCACTTTTCAGTAAATTAAAGCATTTCTAAATTGGTTAAGCAGCAGGGTGTAGGTGAAGCATGCTTGCAGCTGCCAAATAAGATATATTAGTCCTGAATGGCGTGGAGATCTCACATGTTGTTGTCACCTCCAGAATAACATGAAAGGTCCCAGTCTGAGCACAACAGAAAACATGGATGTATTTTTGTTGTAAAATAATTAGAGATTTGCTCTACAAATTTGGCTTATCAGAACTATATGCTACCGATAATCTTAATAGTATTGTGACTGTTTTTAATTTTAGGCAGACTTGGAAATAACAGAAATAGACAAGTTAACAGCAGAAGTTATCCGTACTCCTTTAAAAATCATCAATAAAGGTCAGTTTGTTTTAAGCATTGTGATGAGTTCAGTGACATGAAAGCATGTCATGGTTTACATACTGTGAATAATAATTCATTTCTTACTTACATCCCTCCATATATTTAAAAACAGGAAAATACTACTACTTTTGTGTCTACTATCTGCAGTAGCTCTACTTAATTTTATTAAAACATTCAAAATAGTGCTCGGTCAACCATTTGGATTACATTGGAATTTGATTTCAGAAGCAAATTGTTGCCAAAAATGCTTTGTAGTTGTTTACTCTTTACCTCTACTGCAAATTAACAAATTAATAATTTAAAGTTTTTTATTTTCATCTTCAATAACACTTTCTCTTTCTAGTGGAAAAATCTAAACAGGATATTGAGGCTATTGAAGAAGAAGCAGAGCCTCCTCTGCTTCCTCTAGCAAAGAAGGCAAAACGTGATAGCCAATGTCTTCCAGAGCTAGAAGCTGAAAACATTAATCCAAGAACTGGAAAGGTAAATAGGTATTCCTTGCGATGACTTTATTCCCAAGTTATAAATTACTTGCTGAGATGATGCCTATGATAATATAGCTGTCCAGGATACTTTCAGGGGTATTTCAAAATGGCTATTGCTTCCTTGAAAATTCTAGCAGTAGGGGAAGGTCACAGAAGCTTGTATGGTGTTTGTTTCTGGGCTCTTGTGGCACAAAAAGGAGCCTATTGAGCCAAGCTTTTTGTGTGGAAGCATCTGTTTGTTGTGGACTCAGCTGTCCCACTAGAGTGAAGTAACTGATTTGGTGAGTAATGTGTGTTTCAGGTGAAGGCATCCACTAAAAAAGTGCCAGTATCCAGGAGCAGAAGAGCTCCTTCAGCAAGAGGGAAGCGTATGAGCAAAAGGTAATAGGGGATATCTTTTTCACTGGATTTCAGAAATAGAGAATAACTGTATAGTGCTAATGTAATTCTTAAATGGAATGGAGTATGGTTCAGTAGGCTGGTTAACGTAGCTGTGCTATGCCATAGGAAAAAATTGATGATCTGACAGTGAATGAAAGATGGGCAACTTCCTCTCCTGTGATAACCAGCTTATCCCTAGCTTTTGGCTTTACCTTTGATTAGTAAGAACCTCTGGTTTTCTGTGGTGAAAACCTCATTCAAGTCTTTGATAAGACAGTGCTTGTCACTTGTTGAAAGTATTCTTATGAGCACATGTTTGTTTATTTCCCTTTAACAGATCAAGCAAAAACAGCTTTATCACTCCAGCTACTGGTAGAACTGTTGATCTCTGTGCTTGGGGAGGTACCTCCATGGTCACACCCAAATTTGATTCCAGGTTTGTATTCTGTTATGTTTCGCTGTTAATCTCTTATATAGGGGAGTGCCTTGCCGTTTGCTTTATATATGTCATCTATTTGCAACATAATCCTTAGTGGCTCTTTGAACTTGAAATGAAAGACTTTTAGTAAAAATGCTTTGAGCAATTGCAGTGAAATTACTTACCTATAACTTTTTGTTTCAGAATTTTCAAGACACCGGGTTTGCGCACACCTGCAGTAAACGAACGTGTTTACACCATCTCTGCCAATGGCAGCCCCCTTGCTGAGAGTAATGATATCTTCATTACAGTCCCTGTTGGAGGAGGGGAGGTAAATCAGAACTTTAATTTGTAAAATCTATGCTAAAGAGATAGCTTGTGACTTCTTGGGCGCCTTACCAATTTCAGCTCATCCAGTCTTGTCTATTTAGTTGTGCCACTGCAGTTTATGAGAGGATTGATGTAGCTTAAAAAGGACCTTAAAATACTTTTAGTCAGAAGTCGGAGACGTTCAAGCTGGTCAAAACAGAATGTAGAATGACGTTTTACTGTGCATTTAGGTAACATTTAAAGTAGCTTCTGCTGACAGTAGTGTGTTAATGCATCCCAAGGAAGGTACGAGATGAGCTTCTGCTCAAGCTGAATGTAGTTCTCTACCTGTATGTGGTCTCCTAGTATGCTTGGATTTTGTTTACTTCTATTTTTTAATTTTTTTTTGCTGCTTCTGGCTATTACAGCTGACTAATCAGAAAACCTAAGATTTGTTGGGGTTTTTTTTCACAGAGCATTCGTTTAACAGCAAGTGATTTGACCAAAAAGAATCTTCTTCATCTGAATCCAGAGGCCCAAGGAATTATGAAGAAGCTATCAGTAAGTTTGTTGATCATGACCTGAAGTTGCAAGGTGCTGTTGTCATTCTGTCATTTGTCACTGGACTGTTGAGCTGTAACAGAAACTCCTTATTTTCCCCCACCTTGTCTTGTAGTTTGGCTCATGTCAGTGGTCAAGAAGCAGCATGAACTGAGAAGGGAAGGAGAGGGAATAGCTTTACATCACATCTAGCTTAATACAAACTGTGCATAAGCCATGCACTACTTGAAAAAGAACTCTTGTCAGTGTTTTGAAAAACTGAATCAAAACTGAAAGTATCTTCTACTTCAGGCAGAAGTTGTAAGTGGTTATGGGATATAATAGTGTTTCTTAGAGTACTGATTAATTTCACTTTCTTTCTAGGTTCGTCTTGCACAAGCTTGCAGCGGTACAAAAACCCATAGATGAAACTCAGTGAACGTTGACATCCCTCTGTAAATACAGAATGTTACATTTAGGACTGCTGACTTTATTTCTTGTTCTAATTTGTGTCTTCCTTCCATTAATTTACAGAATGGAAGTTAAGAACTAATTTTTCTATCTATAGTATGTAATGGAATTAGAATAGACTGCATTTTTTTATTTAGGGGAAAAAAAGATACTTCTATTTTCTCTAAGGTTGAGACCAAGATACAGTTATCTTGGGCTTGCAGACCAGCAAGCTGGGCAGAAAGGCTATTCTGGTATCTTGCAGAAGATGTAAGCCATGGGCACAAGTGACTGGAGTTCGTATCTGTCTGGGCAAAGAAAGCAACAGATCAGATTTGTTGCACTTCCTTCCAGGCATGTCCCTTCTCTGCAAATGTGCTTAAAAGGTTATGACTATCTCAGTATAGTACCCAAGATACCTAAAGGCAAGTTCCTGGTGCCTGGGACTAAGTGGAAAGCTTCTTGTAGTTCATGATGCTGCCATGGATAGCAATCCTTTTGTTTTTATAGCAGCCATTGTATTTGTAACTGGCTTTGAGGTTTTCATAGCACACTTATGCATTTTATTGTTTTTAAAGAAATAAAAGGTCACAGATACTTTAACAGAATCAATCAGCTAGACCACTGCTTAACTACATTCCTGAGAGTTACCTTAGAGCTACTGGAGTATCTCTAATGTAAGAGAACTTTGCTTTTCCTACACTCCCTTCAAAATCTTTAGGAGAAGCAGTACTCCTGGAACTGAATATAGACAAGGATGAAGAAAGCTTTGACTAATCAAAACTTTGTTTTGCCCTTTCTTCTCATCTAAATTGCATTGATTTAGTGCACGTCTTTGACAAAGAACCATATCCAATAAATGCTGTTTGATGAGAACAAAGTAACTTCCTCAGTCATTAATTTTTTTTCCCCATTGCTTATAGAAAATACAGAGGAATCTTGCTCCACTTCAAATTCATGAAAATGTAACTTTAAATGTAGCCTCTTGGGAAAGGGTTACTGTATGTATATTTAAGAATGTAAGCAGGAGCACTCATCTGCCTTAACTCTCCCTTGCAAAATTAAGCAGGGAAGAAGTCTTGTATTTGCTTTCCTACAACCACCATCTTATTTTTTCAACAGCCTGGAAAAGCAGAACTCTCTATGAAGCGCTAGGTCTCCATTGGAAAATTGCATGAAGCCTTTAAGGTGTAAAAGACTCCTCTCACTCAAAACCCAGGGTTTCATTTTTATTGTAAATCTTTGTAGCTGGTACAGGATGGGAGAGGACACTTCTCTTGGCTGTTGAACTAAGATGTGAAGTCTCTTAAAACTGTGGTTAGCTTCGATTCCTGAAGCATTATTCTGTATGGATCGTACAAAGTCAAATATGTAAAATGACATCTGCAAGAGACAACCTGATAATCCTTTCTCTGTTTCAGCAGGGAAGCTCACATGAGAACATTTTAATTGGCATGTTAAGAGAGTATTCAGAGTAAAGAACTTTGCTTCTCTAACTTTGTCTAAGATTATTTTTTTTTCTAAAAATAAGCCAGTTTCTTTGTTAGCTGGTGCACTGTCCTTTCCAAAGATACCTTTTTGTCCTTGATTTATGCCTCTTTGAAGGGCTGTGAACAAGGGTGTTGAGACTTTGGGAATTTTTCTAGAGTTGGAAAAGTTCTGGTTTCGGCAACAACCAAGTCTGCAGCATGATTAATAAGGAAGACTGGGAAAAGCTGCTATCAGAGGTAACTTATGCTTTGGTGTAAATCTTGAATGCAGCATGTGGTATGGGAGAAAGTTTGTAGAAGAGCATTCGTACATGAGTTTCCTTTAAAAAGCAAGCACATTACTGTAATGCAAGCCTCAAGAATCTATCATACATTTGGAAATGACCATTTAAGAGGTTTTGGCAGCTTCTAAGTCCTAACTGCAGGTGGCAATATTGTAAACTACTAAGCTACAAGTACACTTGCCTTGCTGTTGTTGAATTGTGTTAATATATTAAAAAAAAATTAGTTAAGCTGTAAATAAAACTGTAACACACTTGCTTGTATACGGATGTGAAAGTCTAGATTCTGCTTTAAACATGTCTTTATCAGGAAAATAATTAACTAGAATACTTAGCTAGCCTAGAGAATTCTTCTGTTAGTACTGTCTGCTTTTAAAAGCCCTAGATACAATCTTTAAGGCTCCGTGTTGACATGCTTGTTATGCTATCAGCCATTTCGGTCTATTTAACGCTGAGGTATGGTATTGTTACTTAGTAAATCCAGGAATTAATGGTTTTGCTAGTACTAGACAGTAGTACTATTCCTCTAGATTAATGAGTCTTGGGTGGTAAGGAGATACAGATATGACTTGACTGCTTCCACAGACTTTTCCAAAGCAGATGTGAAAGCCTTGTGTCCCTGCAAGCCTGCCTACCCAGCTCTCCAACAGCAGAGGCATACCTTTGTTTCTCACTCTAGATTTACATGCTATATATTCCTGACTCTTCTGGAGGATGAAAGGCCATATTTATGCTATTATTGAGGTTAACACATTATATATGGCTACAGCAAAAAATTGCTTGCAAAATAACACTTAGCACCTGAAAGACTGGAAGAAGCAGAATCTGTAGGACTTGGGAGGGGGGTTTATGACTGCATTTCAGTTTATACCTGTTTGGGTTTGTGTGCTGAACTTGCTCTGTGGTGAGTGGAGGCAGCATAGCTCAAGGTTCCTCTTTGCAGAGGTGGTACTGCTGAAGCATGGCATTCCCAGCACAATGCAACCAAACAATGCTGTTAATATTCAAGCTTCCTTTTCCAATTGTCAGAGTGAGTTAATTGTATCTGACATCAATTAAAGCTATCTGGCAGCTAATAGCTAAACAGATTCATCGCCTAAATGCATTTTGCATGCTGCCTGCACCATGTGCTGCTCTAGAACATGGGTAAGCTGTATTTCATTTTTCTGCAGTTTTATTGCTCATGTAAATTGTTGGGATCACTTCTGTCCCTTTTGCACACCACATGGCAGTTGCACTCTGTTTAGCAAAGCTAGAACCTCCCTTTTCAGTTTGGGGATTACAGGGGCAACACAGGCTGACTGTTCTGTGGATTTGGGAGAGGTTTTGTTTGCATATTATTTGTATGCTAGCCCGGCTGCAGTCTGAACTGCTCTTTAAACTGAGTGATGGGAAATAAAAAGCAACACAGGAAAGTAACTATTCTGTCACGTTCGAAGAGGCTGCATCCGTCACTGGCCAGAGCAGTTCAGTCTACAGAAAGAATGACGTTAGTCAGCTTGTGTCATCTGAGCTGCTGCTTAGGTCCGAGATGCTGTGGGCATGGCTTCAGGGACTGTCCTCTGAACACAGCCAGACTTGAGGAGAAAGGCTAGAGGACATCGAAGTGCCTTCTTGAAATACTTTTGCATATGTTCTTCCCAAGAACTGAAAGACGTGACCTCCAAGGGCCTGTGTTTTGTGTTAATAAGTGAGGCTCTGCAGAAGGAATTAAGGCTCCTGTGTTTTGCAGCTGGTTCCATGAGAAAGTGGTTTTCCTGGTTGTAATTGCAGTTATGATGAATACTGCCCAGGGCTGAAAGCTGTGGTTTTCTTGTAGCAAGGGTGATTTTGGGGACTAACAGCCATGATTTGCTAAAAGATTGCTGAGCACTGACTTTTAAAGATCAAAATTCCTGACCTAAACCAGAGTTCTTCCAAAATAAGTTTCCCTTGGGACAGAGCAAGCTGCAGAAGGAGAGCTGGTAGTACTTTCAGCAGCACAGACCCAGCAGGGAGCAAGCAAGTAGCAGGGTATCTCTGTATCTCACTAGGGCTTTTATAGTGCTAGGTAATTACAGTCTTGCAGGGGGAAAAAGCATTTCTGCCTTCCCCTGGCTGGCACAAAGCTCAACCAGCCAACCCTCCAGACCAGAGGTCCTGCTCGCACCAAGCGGGTACAGCAGTACACTGTGTGCTGGGAGGATGCTTGGGAGTCTCAGTGCTTGTGCTACAGATTTGCTCTGGGTGTGACAACTCCAAAGTTCAGCCCAAATTCATAATGGAAATGCGAAACTATTAATCTAGAGAAATAATGAGCAGAATAGGTACCCAGTGAGGTACCTTCCCGAGGATGTACTGACATTGAACTCCCACAAAGGGACTGTGTTAGATAATGATCCTAATAGGTGGCTCTTCCAGGCAATTTGATAGATGTGCACCATCAAGCATTGTCAGAAATAGCTCCGTGTACAAAGCAAGCGTTTATCATCATGGACACCTTGCAGGTGGTCACTGATTCGGTGACATTGTAAGAAATAAATAGATAACAATTCTCTGCTTGCTGATAGAAGGGATGATAGTTTACAACAAATTAGAGCTGTCTCTAGGCAATTTTTTCATGCAGGAGTTTTTGATTTGAAGGTGCAGGACAGCACGTGCTACTCTTCCAGCTGACCTGTATAATTCCACCAGAAATTGATGTTTCCTGGGTCAGCTGAAGGCATAAGAAGGGGAAAAATTCCTTAGCATCACTGAAAGAGGCATAGAGGAGTCCGTAAGTCATCCCTCTTCTCTAAATAAGTGATTGGGAGAACTGCAAATTCAAAGGTGAAAAGCATATTGAAGCCCCTGCCATTTTGCTGAGTTTAGTTGAACAGACTGCATCTCCAGATTTTATGTTCAATTGCAGTGTCTGCAGCTAGCAGTAAAGATATTCTGCACACCAAAAATTTATCCATTTGTGGGATTTGTGAGTCATTTTGAAAACACAGATAAGCCTCAGGGGTCAGGGAAATAACAGGAAAAAGGTGTTTTCAAAAAAGACGTTATTTGCTTAATCAACAGGACAAATTGTCCTAGTCAGAGTATGCACAAACTGACTTTTCAATATGAGTTCCCGCATATTGGTGAAATCAGAGAGGGCAGTCAGGGGACCAGTGAGAAGTTCAAGCTCCTAGTGCCAAGTCTGTGATGCATGATACTATTCCCTTTGACAAGGACTCAGCTTTCCATCGCCTTTCTTGGTGGGGATGGGTGCTCTCCCC